GTACATGTGTCCAGGATCCTGGAAGGCTGGAGGGAGGGGATCATAGCATGACCAAGCCCTTGGAGGGTAATTTTCTTTCTCTCTTATACACACACATGAGCTTTCTTACTATTTTTTTTAAGTTCTTAGAGAGAGTCCTCAATTTTTTTATTCAATTATATTTATTATTATATTTTTAATTTTTTGTATGGCACATGCACTCACCAAAGAGAGAGAAAGAGGAGGGTAGGGAGTGAGAAAGTAAGCCACCAAGTCTGGGACTCATACCACGGTCAGCTATGTGTGGGAATCCAGCATCATAACCACCATGCCACCTGCTGGCCCCTGTACTTGTATATTTTCATGTCGTTGAATGAATGAATGACTTCAGGATAGATTCCTAGAAGTAGGTTTGGCATGTGAAAGGATAAATGCATATATAGTTTGGCTCAATATTATCAAATTCCCTACCAGAGTGGTTGTAGCATGTTGCATTCTCACCAGCCATGGGCAAGAGTATCTGTTACCCCATAGCTTCACCAGCGGAGTGAAATCTTTTCAATGATTTCAGTGCGGTAAATGAGAAATGGTATCTCACTGTAATTTTGACTTACATTCTTCTCGTTATAAAAAAAAATTGAACATCTTTTCATAGATTTGAAAGCCACTGTGCATCTTTTATTGAATTGGTTTTCCATGTCTTTTGCTGGTTTCTCTGTAGCATTTTTAGTCCTCATTTTTTAAAAGGCACTTATACATTAGAGGCCCAGCTGTGGTGGCAGGGGTAGTAGGATGCTGCTGCACAATACCAGAGCCATGTTAGAAGGCACCAGGCTCAGATCCCAGGTCAAGTAAACACACTAGGTGAGGAGAAGGAGAAGGCAGGGTGAAACCCTATCAAAAGTATCCATCCCTTTCCTCTCCCTCCCTCATCCTCTTTGTGAAAGAAATAAGTAAAAACTTTAGGAAGGGGGCCAGCAGCTGGCGTAGTGTTTAAGGCACTGGGCTCCCACATGACTGACTGCATCTTGAGTACTAGACCGGAAAGCTTGAGAATCACACCAGGCACATGTGTGCATATGCTCAAAATCCCAGTAGGAGAGTGGAGGAGAAGGGATTGTGGTGTGGCCATCCCCCACAAAGAGTGATTTCTCACTGTCTCTCTCTGACTCTCTGGCAAGCACATGCACCCTATGGCAAAAACCTTTTTTTAAAAAAAAAGCTAAAAAATAAAAACTTTAGGAAGAAAAATGCTGCTTTTACATTAGGGATGGATATTAGTTCTTTCTTTATGATATATTTGTATTTATTTCCTGTCAGTCTATCATTTGACTTTTGACTTGGTTTCTTTCATTTATTACCATCCAAAAAAAAAAAAAAGATTTTGAATCAAAAATAAGCACAAGCAGGGACCAGCAGTTAGCATAATGGTTGTCACTGGACTCCCATGTAGTTGACCGTGGTTCGCATCCTGGACCCAGTGGCTTAAACTCACACCAGGCAGTGTGCATGCGTGCCCAAGATCCCCAGAGGAGAATGGAGGAGAAGGGATTGCAGCATGGCTATGACCCCGGAGGGGGGGTGATTTCTCACTTTCTATCTCTCTGTCTCTCTCTGTCTTTCTGGTCATGCGCCCTAAAGCAAAAACCTCCCCCCCCCCAAAAAAAAAAAAATAAGCACAAGCAGGGGCTCTTGTTATCAAATCTGAAAAGGAAGATAAAAGATATAGAAGTTAAAACAATATAATTATAATGGAAAAGCAGACCAGTCACCAGGATAAATGGCCCCAGATAGATGTGTATATCATGGCCCCTAAATAGATGTGTATATTATGAGTGTATGTGTTTTATAAACTTAGTATATAATAAAAGTAGCATTTCAGAACAATGAGGAAAGGGATGGTCATTTAGGAAATCTACTAGACACTCAGTTGTTTAAAAAACTAAAGTTAGATCCTGACCTTAAATAATCCACCAAAGAAATTTTAGTTAAATAATCAATACACAGAGTCATTAAAGTACTAGAAGAATATGTTTATGATTATATCTACATTTCTCCACCTCAGCACTATTGAAATTTTAGACTGGGAAATTCTTTGCTGTGGTGAGCCGCCCTGTGTGCTGCGTGTATTTAGCAACACATGGTCTCTACCCATTAGATGCAAGTCGCAGCTCCTCAAGCCATGGCAATCAAGAATGTTTCCAGACATTGACAAGTGTCTCCCTGGGGATAAAATTACCCCTGGTTCAGGACCTCACATCTGTATCATCTGAGCTAGAAGCATTATACCTACAAACATTTTTGAAAATGTTGACTACAAAAAAAAAAATTATAATTAAAGTAGCTATAAATTAAGCAACAAACTAAATATCAATAAAATTCCATTACAAAAAGTAATCAACAAAATGACCATTCCAGCCCTGGCAAGCAAAATGCAGAGCTGGAAGCCACATGGCAATAATGGTTCAAATCCCTAGCCTGGTCAGCCTGAAACAAACGGAATATACGTGCAAGTGCCCAAGATCCCATGAGCTGGAGGGCAAGAGGAAGGTGATCACAGTGTGACCAGGCCCTATGGAGGATCCCTTTCTCTCTTTCTCTCTCTGCCTCTCTCTCTCTCTCCTACATGTATGCACTTTAATCATGGATAGAGAAAAAAGAAAAAAGAATATTGAAAAATGACCGTCTCAATAGAAAACTGGACAAAGATGTAAATATACAATTCACAAAAGAAGGAATCTACGTAGCCAAAAAATAAATATTTGAAAGTTTGAGATACTAATAATCGGAGCTATTCAATGTGAAATATGCAAATATTAATTCAGGATACATGCTCTACCTTTGATATTGGTAAACCTATAGCAAACTTACTGATTTGGGTTATGGGTAAACACAATTTCCTAAGTGATAGAAGTAAAATAAGTACAACATTGATGAAGTACAATGGCAGTACATATTAGACTTTTCAAATGTATACGAAGGCTTTGTCCATGCAGTTTTACTTCTAGAACATTATGCTAAGGAAATAACTGAACTGTAAAAAAGTTCGGTGAGTAGCCCAGTCACGGAAATGTGTGACTAGTTGACACTGCCACTCCTCAGACTGAAGCCACAGGGGAGGCCCAGGTTTGATTCCTAGTCCATCCTACTCTGGTCTCAGCTCCTAGGGAGGCTGAGGTGAGAGGATTAGAACACAGTGAGACCCTGTCTGGACAAAGGAGCTGAGTTGTTAAACATTGGGAAAACCCACCAGTCTAACAGTGAGGAACCAGTCAAATAAATTAAGGTACACTCATATATAATAGAATATATTAGGTCAGTATTCCAATTGATGAAGTACATACACAGGGGAAAATGGATAGATTAGAATTAGAAATTCAAGTAATAGGTACTTAATATCTCTCGGATAATTAGTAGATCCCATTTCTATATTTTTTCAATCTATTCAAAATTGTTGACAGATTATAATCTTTACTGGTAAGATAGTATAGAGTTTTTTACCTTTATATTTCTTTTCTATTATTTCTCCCAATGAATAGGAACAGTTTCTATAACAAAATAAAAGACAATAGAGAAATAGCATATTTTTAAATCCTTCATCTCAATTCCAAATTGAAAAAATGTAGGAGGCCCAGCTGTGATGGCACACAGTTAGCCCCCGTGCTTGGGAGGCTGAAGCCACAGGCAAGGCCCAGATTTGGTTTCCAGGCCAACCCGAGCACGCCAAGCTTGTTTGCGCACAGCTGTGAGCCTAGCTAACTGGACGCTGGGGTCGGAGGTCATAACACAGTGGGGCCTTGTCAAACCACCTCGCTTTCTCACTCTCCTCTCAGAAAGGAGAAAATTTATTTTAAAAAATAATGAAATTTTTAATAATAAAGAAGAACAGGGCCAGCTGGTGGTGCGGTGGTTAAGGTGGCTGGATCCCTCATGGTCAACCTACAGTTGAGTCTCAGACCTGGTGGCTTGAAAAAAATTCCAAGTACATGGGAGCACATGCCTAAAGTCTCAAGAAGAGAATGGAAGTGAAAGGATCTGTCATGGCCCTCCTCACTGGAGGACGCTTTCTCATTTTGTCTCTCTCTCTCTCTCTCTCTCTCTCTCTCTCTCTGCGTCTCCAGTGAGCACACACATCCAATAGCAAAGTATTAAAAATAAATTAATTTTTTTTACCCCAGTGTTCATGAAAGCATTATTTATAACTGAAAAAGAAATCATATTAATGTCCCCAAATAATTAATATGATAAACTACTGTGTATATCTAGGAGAATAAAAATATATTTTTTAAAAATCTTATGTAAATTGGCCCAGACTTGGAGGTACAGTTGGTAGTTTATCGGACGGCATAGCTGGAAGCTGTGTGCTAACCGTAGTTCAAGCTCCCTACCCAGTCAACCTGAAAATATACCAGTCATGTGTATATGTGTCAGGATCCTGGAAGGATGGAGGAAGGGGGATGTAGCATGGCCAAGCCCTGTGGAGGGTAATTCTCTCTCTCTCATACACACACATGAGCTCTATCATGATTTTTTTTTTTTTTTTGGTAGAGGTTTTTGCTATAGGGCGCATGTGCTCGCCAGAAAGACAGAGACAGACAGACAGAAAGCGAGAAATCACCCCCCAGGGGGGATGACCACGCCACAATCCCTTCTCCTTCATTCTCCTCTCGGGATCTTGGGCACGCACACACACGCGCCTGGCGTGAGTTTAAGCCACCACGTCCGGAGCTCGAACCGCAGTCAACTACATGGGAGTTCAGCAACATAACCATTACGCTAACTGCTGGTCCCATGGTTTTTGTTTTTCAATTAAGTCTAAATTAATATTATCTCAGACAAAAAGTGGTTATTATTAACCACATAACTTTAAAAGAAATGCAGTGTCTAAGGTTAGTATTGAAATAAATCACGCACTTCGCTCTGTGTGTATGGATGTGTTTGTGTCTTGATGCAGAGTTCTTGCTTCCCTGTGTGAAGAGACTAAAGTAAACTAAACTAAAATCTGGTGTCTCGTGTTGTAGGTTGCTTCAGGTGAATGCAATGAAGACACCGAAGTTTACAACATCACCCTGTGTACTGGGGATGAACTCACTCTAATGGGGCAGGCAGAAATCCTTTATGCAAAGACTTTCAAGGAAAAGTCGAGACTCAACACCATCTTCAAAAAGATTGGGAAGCTCAATTCCATCAGCAAGCTGGGAAAAGGCAAAATGCCATGCCTCATTTGCATGAATCACCGGACCAATGAAAGCATTAGCCTTCCATTCCAATGCAAGGGCAGATTTAGCACCCGGAGTCCCCTGGAACTGCAGATGCAGGAGGGTGAGCACACCATCCGCAACATCGTGGAGAAAACCAGGCTTCCCGTCAATGTGACCGTGCCAAGTCCTCCACCCCGAAACCCATACGACCTCCACTTCATCCGCGAGGGGCACCGCTACAAATTCGTGAACATCCAGACCAAGACAGTGGTGGTTTGCTGTGTGCTGCGGAACAACAAGATCCTCCCCATGCACTTCCCCTTGCATTTGACTGTCCCCAAGTTTAGCCTCCCAGAGCACCTCGTGAAGGGGGAGGTCTGGCCCGAAACCCTGGTCCATCACTGGCTGGGTATCTGCCAAGAACAGTTTGACATTGATGAGTATTCACGGGCTGTGCGTGATGTGAAGACCGACTGGAATGAAGACTGCAAGAGCCCCAAAAAGGGCCGGTGCTCTGGCCACAACCATGTGCCCAATTCCCTTAGCTACGCCCGCGATGAGCTCACCCAGTCCTTCCACCGCCTTTCGGTCTGTGTGTATGGCAACAATCTCCATGGCAATAGCGAGGTGAACCTCCATGGCTGCAGGGACCTGGGGGGAGACTGGGCTCCTTTTCCTCATGACATCCTGCCCTATCAGGATTCCGGTGATAGTGGGAGCGACTACCTTTTCCCAGAAGTGAGTGAAGATTCAGCAGGCGTCCCAGGGAAGTCAGAACTTCCCTATGAAGAGCTGTGGCTGGAGGAAGGCAAGCCCAGCCATCAGCCTCTCACCCGCTCCCTGAGCGAGAAGAGCAGATGCGAGCAGTTTCGAGGTTCTGTCCGGTCCAAATGTGCTACTTCACCTCTTCCTGTCCCTGGGACTCTGGGAGAAGCTATGAAGTCTTCAGATATCACCCTACCTCCACCTCCAGTGCCTCCCAAATCTGAAGCCGTAAGTCACTTCTGTGTTTGAGTGGGGTGCCAGTCTCTCTCAGCTCAGTCATCCACTGATTTATTTTCTTAAAGAATAACTTCTGGGCTGTTAGGTGGCATGGTGGTTGGGGCACTGGACTCCCATGTGGCCAATCGCAGTTTAAGCAGACATAGCAAATTGCTTTCTCACTTTCCCTTTCTCTCTCTCTGGTCAAAGTAAATAATAATAATGACAAAATTAATCATTCTTAAAAAATAAAAAAAAAAAAAGGAAATGAGTAACTTCCCCACAGAAGATCATCAGAATGAGCAAATTTGTTTAACTTAGAGTCAAATATAAATGCTAGCTAGAGCACTTTTACCAGTGAGGAGGTCGAGTTTTGCTCTGTATTTGATGAGACACTCAGGAGTTTGCAACAGGAGAGGTTTAAACATGACTGCTGGTGCCTAGGGAATGGCGGGAGGAAGCAGAAGGCCAGAGAAGAGATGATTACAGTCACGGGTGTGTGAGGCAGTGACACCCTGGAACACGGCCACTGGTAGCAGTGTGGCAGGGAGGAGTGAGCTGCTTCCGACTGGGTGTCAGAAGTGGAGCTGACATCTTTACTGTGGATTGGACATGGGGAGTGAAGGGAAGAGAGCAACCAAGCAAACGCCTTGATTTTGAGCCTGAACAGCAAAGCGGATATGGGTACCATTTCCAGTGACGGGGGAGATGGAAGGAGGAACAAATTTATTTGGGAGCAGGAGGGGAGCAGTGGGGCCAGAAATCATCAGCATCGCTTGGGACTCTCTCTATCGCTGGAGTTACAGTGAGATCACGGCATGGTGGGTGTGTTCACGGGCACGCACACTCACATCCCAGAACCAGTGCCAGGATGGCTGTTTAATACTTGAAACGTGCCTCCTCCAGAGCTTGACTGGGCTTCTGTTGAATTTTAATATTAAAAAGTCAGCACGGGATCAGCAGATGGCATAATGATTATGTCACTGGACTCCCACGTAGTTGACCGCAGTTCAAGTCCCAGACCTGGTGACTTAAAACTCATGCCAGGCATATGTGCATGCATGCCCAAGATCCCAAGAGGAGAATGGAGGAGGAATTGCAGCATGGCCATCTCTCCCGGGAGGTGTGATTTCTCACTTTCTCCTCTCTGTCTGCCTGTTTCTCCGGTGAGCACACACGCCCCAATAGCAAAAATCTCTTTAAAAAAAATAAAAAGTGAAAAGTCAGCACAGAACAGGAGAAAGGGCCCTCTAATTTGACCGTGTTCTTTGACCGATGGCACTCTGAAGCTTTGCTGCTTGTTTCTGATCACTGAGTTTCATTTTATCTGAAGGGAGAAAGTTCTAGAGGCACTGAGTGTAGTTCTAGTCATTTGAGAATTCCAGTTCTAGTGTGCTTTTTTCTGTCTCTAGCAGAGAACTTTAAAAAGAAAACCATACATGCATGAATCCCAGTATAGAGAATTCAAACCAAAGCCCCTCTGACTGAAGCACAGATTGCAAGAGAAGAGTCTTCCTCATGACCCTGCCTACTCTCAGGTGGTCTCAGGAAACCTCTCTGGAACCCTGGGCTGTGTGGAACCCAGTTTCAAAGCCATCAAATTACTGGGCTAAATGCCAGAAGGAAGACCATTAGTAAGACCTCAACTCCCAGCCCTGGTTAGTACCTTTCTGTTTTGCAGGAAAGGTGATAGATGAAAAGAGACTATGACTTACGCAAGTTAAAAAGGAGAGAGATGGCATGTATGGAAATTCAGAGGAGAAAGGGAAACTTCTAGATGGAGGACACATGGAAATTATAACATTTTTAATAAATCTCGAGAATACACACAAATTGGAAAAACAGTGGGATGAAAATAGACATTCTGGACAGAGTAGTGTGACAGTGTAGAAGCTGGGACATAGGAGGAAAAACGAGGAGTTCTGTTGGGCCAGCCAGTTAAACAGGGCACTTGAAGGGCAGTGGCGGCTGATGAGCTGGAGCCAGGACACGGCCAGCTGAATGTCAGGCAGCACGAAGCTTAGCTGTCCGTGAAGATCACTCCTTGCTGCATAGCTTTTCCTGGAGAAGATCCACTTTGGGCTGTTCATTCCAGGACTTAAGAACTCCCCACAAACTACAGGTCAGATTTTTCCCCTGACCCTTACAGGGTCTTCCAGGGGCCCCAGAGATCCGTGTATTCAGTAGGGGTCATGGAATAGTTGGGAAAGTTTTCATGGAGTGGAGGTCCTTGTATTCATGTCACAGATCCTCTAAGAGTGTTCCCAAAGAGCCGGGTAAAAAGTAGAAGGACATGCCTTCTAACAAGTACCCTAGGAAACTTGAGGGTTGTTTTAACTCAGTCATTTATTGGATGTTACTTAAAGGTTGGAACCCTGATCTTCCATAGAAACATGGCCATGTGACCTTTCCCTGTTGAACTTTGGTCCTACCAGGCATATAGCAGGGACTCATGTTTGTTGACCAACTGATAGACTTATCCAAGATGATCACACCTGGGGTTATTTATGTAACCAAGTCTAGAGGTAAGAAATTAGCATTGCTTGTTTTTTCTGTGGCTAATGAAAAAATGAGTAAGAGCATAAATATTAGGAGACTGATCTTGACCTTGGTACTAAAAGAAAAACACTAGAGTTAAATTTGAAACTAAAAGCAAATCTCACAGGAAAAAAGATCTTGGCCTCCAGTGGAAGCTCTAATTTCTTATGACGTCAGAGAATCTCATCAGAACATGTTCAGTGTTTATAGAATGCTATCAACATAAATATTTTTTTAGAAACACCTGAAATCATTTCATTTACTTTTTGAAAATGAAGGCATTTCAATGAAGTCATATTTTTTATTGGTTCTGTGACCATGAAATGACTTTTCCATTTTTAGGATATGCGTGGGATCCAGAGAACGTCATAATTGTTAGATGTGGCTTCAGCTTGTAATTTGCAAAAGGGAACATTAATGGGGCATAAATTCAAGTGCTCCCACGGAATTAAATAAATCACCTCCTTCAGATAGTTACAGTGGGGTGAGTCCTGGGAGAGAGATATACCACGTGAGTCGTAGCTTTCCCACCCAATAATTAAAGATGGCAGAGAGCTTTCCAGTAAGGCCAACTGGACGTTATCTGGGAAAGTGACAACTCCTGCCAGGTCCTAGGAATAGAAGGTGCTGGGCAATGGAAGCGTCAGAGAAAGGGTGTCTTTCACAGTAAGGGAAGGAAACCTGCAATTGGCCAATGAACTATTTTGCAGCATGTGACCCAGCCATGTTAGAATCAAGAAGTACAACGGCTGTACTTCCATGCATATTGGCCTGTCCTTTTCTTGTGTCCGAAATTGTGACATGTGTTTGCACTTTCTTCCCGAAAGATTTTGACATTATTTTTCCCTTTCTGTGAAGGTGAGAATACATCTTTCCCCTTCACTGACAGTGCGGGTAAAAAGTAGAAGGACATGCCTTCTAACAAGTACCCTAGGAAACTTGAGGGTTGTTTTAACTCAGTCATTTATTGGATGTTACTTAAAGGTTGGAACCCTGATCTTCCATAGAAACATGGCCATGTGACCTTTCCCTGTTGAACTTTGGTCCTACCAGGCATATAGCAGGGACTCATGTTTGTTGACCGACTGATAGACTATTTCCCGTGTGTGCTACAACTCTGAGTCGTCTGGGTTGTGCTCGTCAGTGCTTTCCCACCCGTATCCCTAAAAGGAAAACCAAGGGGGCAAGCAGGTGGTGTGGTAGTTGAGGCACTGGACTCCCACATGGCCAACTGCAGTTCAAGTCCCAGACCCAGCAGTTTGAAAAACGCACCGGGCACATGTGCATGCATATTAAGGGTCCCGAGAGGAGAATGAAGGAGAAAAGATTATGGTGTGACCATCCCCATTGGGGTATGATTCTCTCTCTCTCTCTCTCCCTCTGCTGAGAGCGCAAGCCCTTTAGCAAAAACCTGGCGGGGTGGGGAGGAAAATCAGGTTGTGGGACCAAACAGAAAATCCTTAGTGGCGGAGTAATCTGTTTGTCCCGTTAACATATTTTGTTACTCTATCTTGTACCCAAAGCTCCAGTCATCTGGTATCTTTGCGGAGATTATTTAATCTTTTTTTAAACAAATTTCTGCTTCTTGCCTCTCCAGAGTATGAAAGGTTCTTCCCTTCCTAATGAGACTAGCCCAAGGAAAAGTAAACAGCTCCTGGGTCAAAAGGTAGAAGGGATTTAGCGGCTTGTGTCCCTTTGAGCTGTTGGCAGCCGAGGCCATGCAGGGAGCGTGCCCAGTTCTGGCTCTGTCACCTTTTAAAAATTTCACAAGGTAGCCCCAGATCAGAATGGCCTGACAGTCCTTTTTAAGTGGATTTCTCTCTATTGATTCATACACTTGTTCTAAAGCTTTATTTCCTAACACTGTAGGCCTCTTCTTCATTTTCATTTTCTTGGTATTGGTCAATATGTATACAGTATTTACACAAATCACTCTACCAGGAACAATCCTCAAGAGTTGTCTTTTTCTTTCCCCCTCTTTAGAAAATGTCACTTGGGGAGCCATAATAGGAAGACCATGTAATAGCATGGAATTAAAAAAAAAAAGTAGCATGAAATTCTCTAAGTAGAATGTTTGACCCTCACACTGCTTTGGCCCATGCAGTGAATTACAAATTGTTACTTAAATGACAGGATCACAACTCTTCCAGAACCATTTGTCTGGCAGCATCTAACCAGAGACCTCCAAGCACAGTGACCAACGTCCTCCATCTGTCTCCAGTATCAGAAAAAAAAAAAAAAATGCCTTTACTCTCTGTTGGTTGCTGATATTTATATCAATTTCTGGGACTGGTGAGAGAGGAAATCATAAAAGTGCTCTAGGTGAACCACTGAGTTCAACCAAGTTTACTGCAGTACTGATGAATTTGTTAACCTTTGTGATGGACAGGGATGCTTCCACAGCCTATGAGAAACAGGGCATAGGGACTGAGTGACAAGAGGAATTGGCATATGTTTATCTCTTTTCTTAAAAG